GAAAATTTTAATTTTTAATTAATAAAACAATAGCGAACACAAAATAAAATCAATGCAAAGATGATTAAATAATATCTTATTTTCATTTAAATATAAAGAAAATTAGAAATAATTAGTAGAATCAGTGTGTGCATGTGAATAATATTTGCAAAACACTTGTTAAGCTTATATTAATTTATGCTATTATTGGAATTTAAAAATATAAAATTATTTTTTTTAAATTAAATTTTTACATCAAAGCAAATTTTATTAAATAATATCTTATTTTCATTTTAATATAAAAAAGAAAAATAGGAATTAGAGTCATCGTGTGTGTGTGAATAATACTTGTAAATCACTTGTTAAGCTTATATTAATTTATGCTATTATTGGAATTTAAAAATATAAAATTATTTTTTATAAAAATTAAATTTTATCAAAAACCAAAAATATCCTTTAAGTTATTTCAAATTTTTATATTTTAAAAAAAATATTTTCTGAATAATAATTTGAAGACAAGAAAGCATTAATTAAATTAAAAGAATCTTATGTTATTGTTTAATATTTCGAATTCAAATAAAAGATATTCATTTAAGTTAAAAAGTAAATAAATTTATCATACATTTGAATTTATCCAATAAATAATATAAAAATATAAGTTTAATATTAATTAATCATCAAATGTGTTGTTTTCTAATATAAAATGAATAATGATAAAGCCATTTTTAAATGTAAAAAATATTTATATTTAAAAAGAAAAAATTTTAATGAATAATTTTTAAGATAAATAATAAAATATATATAAATTAGCATGTATTTTGTAGATTTTGGAAATAAATTTGCTTATTTTATTATCTAAAATATATTTCATTATTGTAAAATATGCTTTAAAAAATTAATCGAAAATGATTTGAAAGAATACTCATTTAAAACTGTTATTTATTAAAAGCAAGATTCATTATAAAAATATTTTTATAAAAGAATAATTTAAGTAAGCGCTTTTAGAATAATAACTTGCTTCTTTACATATCAATTTTATCAAATTTTTTTATGAGAAATAGAAATCTGTTTAAACTATAATATGACAAATAGTTTTGATAGAAAAATACCTATTTTATTGAAATATAATATATTTAATTTTTAAAAACTCGCTATTTTTAGCTTTAGTTTTAAATTAAAATGTATTTTTATCTTCTATTTTTTTAAAGAATTAAAATAAATTTTAAGATTACTTGTTTTTTTGTTTGACTTACTTTTTAATATCAACCATAAATTTTATCATTGGAATTTGATACTACTAAATAAATATAACTTGTTGACAAAAATAATCCTTAGCAAATGTTAAAATATATAACAATTCTAACAAAAAGAATACTTTCATAAAGTATTTTATGTATGAAGATAAATAATAAGTATTTTAGCAGAGACAAAAATGCTCTAGTACTTTTGAAAAGTGATAATATAAATGTAATTTGTTAAGAGTAAAATTTTACATGTACAATTTTAATTAGATAAGAATAATTATTAGTATTTAATTAGTTGTATTGTCTGGTCTATTGATTATTATTCTAATTTTCAAATTATATTCTACTTTTCGAGATCTTTTTAGAAGCCCTTGTTTTAAAAAAATTGTTACAGATGATACTTTAATTATAAGTAAGTCAGATCAATTCTATCAAATATAAATGTAGACTATCTTTAACCAATTTTTATAAAAAGTTTAGGGTATAAAAAGAAACAATGTAGCTTTACAAGGATTGAAAATATCTTCTAAAAACTATTCATTTCAAGAATAGATAAGAAAATAAAAAATTGTTAAGAAGCCTTTTAATAATTAAATAGTTATTAATTCCTTCCTTCTTTCTTTTTAATAATATTTATGGATGTTTGTTTGAGTTTAAACAAATACAAAGATAATATTCACTTGCTTATAATTACAATCTCGCCTCATGAAGATCTGTTGATATTTAGCTTTGAAGGATAGGGACCATTTACAAATGCTAAGATTTTGCTAGAGAAAAGTAGTATTAAGTATCAAAGTGATAGTGAGAGAGCAATTAATTAGTTAAAGCTGAGAAATGAGTATGCCAAAATATAAAAAATTTAAATTTAAGAAAATTATAGAAACAGTTTAATGAATGCGAAAATGGGGGTAGGTATAAGCTACGAATAAGAAATACTTTGAATTAAGAAAAATTAGTTGTAACTCGTTAACAGATGTTTTTTGGATAATTATTATTATATTTAATCAGGTCTACTTATTTGTTTCTCGAAACTTCCTTTTTATACTTCAAACTCTAAGTAATTATTAGATTTTTTGCGTCTCCTCTAATTTTATTCAATGCTTCAAAATTGTTATTGTGTTTTGATAATTTGAAATCTAGTTAACTGGGTAAATTTATCAAATAATAGATCCATGCATAGATCAATTGATTTTTATCTCTTTGTTTTTCATTTAATGAATAGACCAAATATTACATGAAAATTAAATAAATTTGCCTATAATTTTCATATAACTAATTAATATAACATTCATATTTATTACTGCACTATATTTTTCTTCCTTCAATTTTCTTTCTTTTTTCTGTATTAAGATTAATTCAACATAATGCGTAGACAAAAGATAATTTTTGATTTGGCAGTATATTTAAATATTTCCTTATTTAATAATTAGATTTGCAATATTTGAAGATCCAAACAAACAAACAAAAAAACACTCAAAAAATCTAATATGATCAAACAAGTAATAAAAAAATAAAAGCAGAATACTAAGAAGAGTGAAAAACTTATGAAGAGTAATTAATTGAAAATATATGAAAATTTAAGTTTAATGTTGCGGTAATTTTAAATATAATTGGTTTATAGGCAGGCATAAGAAAAATAGAAATAAATACAAACAAACAAATATTGCAAAGATTTATTTATTTTTATAATATATTTTGAAGTAATTATTGGATAAGATAGATAGATAGATAGATATATAAATAATTGAAATTAATTAATAGTAAGTAATTATTGCATTTCTTTTAATATGTTTTAGAAAAATTTAAAATAATAAACTATTAGGTTAGATTTTGATTATTGATAGATTGATATATTTATTAATTGGTAATTATTTTTAGAGTTTGTTACTGAATATTTATTTATTTATATGATTGTTATTATTATATCTTGTTAGTTTTTTTCATTTTAGGATTAGCTTTTCTTCGAAGAAACTTCAAAAATCTATGAAGCTGGGATATTTTTTAACACTTGAAAATTCACTGTCATCATCTTGCTGACTTAATGCGTATTTATTAAGATACATTTCATGGTCAATACATTCACTTGAGTTGATAGCACTTTAGTTGTAAATATTTTAGCAGGCTTTTTATGAGGAAATATTGGTTTATTCTATTTACATTTAGTTTTAACATTGCTGAGCATAAGAAAATTAATAGTTATTTTATTGTTATTTTTGATATTAGAAGTTTTGTTATTATTGTTGTTGTTGTTGTTATTGCTATTAGAGAATATTCATTTATTACTAAAACTTTTGTATGAGTTGAATCTTGAGCAATAAGATGTCTATGTCCTCTTCATCATCATCGTCTTCGTCGTCTTCTGACTCTTCATTTAAGATTCTTTGGTCTTCTTCCTCTTGCTTTTACTTGATTATTTCTTCTTGGGACTCAGATGCTTTGGTGCTGACGCTCCAGGATTAGTTGCGAGTTTCACATAGTTGGTCTAAAATTTACTAAGATTATCCTTTTTGCAAATACAAATTAATCTAATCTTAATACTCTGACTTGCAGTTGTTTTATGGTAGTTAGGAGAAGCTTTGCTTTTGAGCCTTTGATTGTGATGCCAAAATTTAAAAGG